ACATCAGCCTTTTGACAACCAGCGTACTTCAGTGTGAAGAAGTAACTGATGAAAGTGTTCGTCATTTTCTTCACACAATTGTGCAAATAATCGTGTATTCAACGCGTTGCTGCAAATTCGGTTTACTGTATGAATGACTAATTGAAGAGATTAATGCAATCTAGCGCTCAAATTTTTAGCAACCAAATGTTGCCGTTGGATGATGCAATGTATTGCTAACACCCCTGGCACATTTTATTTTAAATAGCTTATAAATCCGCGATAACGTCCAACCATGGCAGGTGCTCCATCTGTAGCTACTGATATGATATTTAATAAAGGGATTGCTTTTACAATAAAGTAATGCTTTAAAACATTAAATATTGATTCACCTTTAGTGTCGGTTGTCAACGTTCTTGCGAAGAGCAGTTCTTCGTGAATTTCTTGATACATAATAAAACTAACATATGCCAGGTAAAGTTGACTTGTTCAGTTGTATAGAGAAATGTATCGTTTTCAAGTAATTACACAAAAAGCATTCAAAATCAGAACTCATTTCATCAATATTTTTTAATTCTTTTAATGATATCAGATGCAGGTTTGTGTAAAACAGTTTTTAAAACCTCTTCAACGGCTGGCAAATTTAACTTCTCTCCGATAGTATGCGGTTTTCAGAATCTTGCTTTAAGTCGCGAGATGTTCTAAGACGCCCGCAAACTATCATCATTTCTTTGTGATGTCGAAGCGAACATTCTGTCCAGCGTGGGTCTATTCTGAAGTTTACCTTTAAGTGTTTGAAAGTATTTCAAATCTTTATCTGTTTTATCAGGGGACATCTTTTCAGATGATCCTTCAGCTTAGTTTCATAGCGACATTGCCCAAAATTTTGTTGCATAAAAGACGTATAGGCAATTGTTTGTTCGTCAATGATGGAATGAAGCCAAACTTCAAATAATCAACACTGTTCTGTCTACATTTCTTTTTACTTTCGGGCATGGCATTAGTCATCTGTGGGCAAAATTATTCTGTTTATAAGACATAAAGTTCAGCATTTAAAAATCAAATTCAAATTTATATCGTATAGTTTTAGAATTTATATTAGGCATAGGTGTACAGCCATTATAAATGAATGTCAGAACAATACTATGAATATTACTTATGTAATGTTCTCATGTAATTTTGCATGATTTAAATACTAAACTGCCAATAACTGAAGTCATGATTCACGTAATTTATTTATCTTTGCTAACTACGATTACAAAACTAAAATTTAATAAAAAAATTTGTATTTATTTTTCTTCGGCACTCTTAAACAAAATGCTGATTCACGATAATTTATTAAAAACACAACCGTATTATATCAATCACGTCACACAACAGTCATTAAATTTTTTCTATTATTATAAAAACTCTTTCATTTCTCTTCTTCTTTGTGAATAAAAATATCGTCGAATATAAAAATTTTAATGGCATTGAATTTCAAGTTAGAGAGCAATTACAGTTTAAAAAGACTTAGGAATTAACCGCCTCTTCTAATTTATTAGATATAACATGTAGGGTCCCTCAAGGTTCTATACTAGGACCTCTTCTCTTTTTAATTTACATTAATGATCTCCCTAAAGCCTCAAATTTAATGACGGTCATGTTTGCCGACGATACAAATCTTTTTTTAGCTCATAACAACATAATAACATTATTCCAAAATATGAATATTGAATTAACAAAAGTTTCTGACTGGTTTAAAGTGAATAAGCTGTCACTAAATGTTGAAAAAACTAAATGGATACTTTTTCATCAAACTTCAAAAAAAAAGCTACTACCTCCTGTGATGCCCTTACTTTTTATTGACAAAGTTCAAATAAAAAGAGAACAAACTACTAACTTTTTAGGAATAAATATTGATGAAAACCTTAGTTGGAAGTATCACATTGATTTATTGTGCAACAAAGTTGCTCGAAATATAGGAGTAATGTACAAGGCTAGAAATGCTTTAAATAAACACAGTTTAATACAATTATATTTCTCTTTAATCCATTGCCATATAAATTATGCAAATATGGCTTGGGGTAATACCAATAAATCTAAACTGCTACCTCTTTATCGTCAGCAGAAGCATGTTGCTCGGCTTATCAATTATAAAGATCGATTTGCTCATGCCAAACCATTATTATTTCAAATGAAAATTCTTAATATTTATCAGCTAAATATTTTTAATATACTTTGTTTTATGCTCAAGTGTAAAACCAACGAATCTCCAGTTTCTTTTCATAATCTATATACCTTAAAAGATAAAAATAAATATAACTTAAGAAATGATAATCAAATTCAGCAACCTTTATCTTTAACTAATTTTGGAAAGTCATGTATTTCATATCGAGGAGCTTTTCTATGGAACAAAATAGTTTTAAAAAATTTTGATTTTTCCCATGAATGGAATTATCTTTCATTCAAGAAAAAACTAAAAAAAATTGTTTTGTCTTTTGAAGACATTTTTTTATATTTTTAAATTCTTTTAAAAATGAATATGAAGTTTATTACATAAGGTAATATATAAATATTATATCTGATCCATAACTTATGTGTTTGTGAAAACAGTACTTTTTAAAATATTTTTGTATTTATATATATAAGAGTATCAACAATTTCTTTATTCCAATTTTATTTATATATTATTACGAAATTTATGTCTCGCTAATTTTTAATACGACATTGTTTAGATTTTATACTTCATGTTAATTTAATGTACTTAATATTCACGAGCGGTTCTCGATGATAAGACCTGAAGGTCTTCTGCGAGTCTCCGCGTTCTTTCTTTTTTGTATATATTTTCTTTTATTGTATAACGATTTTTATCTCAACTATCTTATTGTATAACTATATTGAATATTCAAGAAAAGAACAAAAAAAAAAAAAAAAAAAAAAAAAAAATGTATTGTGAAAATGTTCGGTACTTTTATAATTCTTTTTAAGGTAAAGAACTCAGTTTTTAATGAACAAAAGCGTGTAACAATTTTTATCAATTACCTAGTCATGTATGGTAGTGCTTTGTGCGTGTCTGCTCTGCCGCGATCATTTTGCGGTCGCAATTGATTAAATGTGAGTCAGTGAGGGAGTATAATGTAAGTAAATAGGTAGTATCTGTGTATGTTGAGATCCACTATCGTGGGCCCCCATTTTCATTTCATAGACCACTTTGGGAATCACTGGTCTAAACCACTTGCTAACCCGTTAGGTTCCAGCTATGTTGTTATTACAGTTTCTCATTTCAAAAAATCGTGAAGCTACTTTTAAACTACGCAGTTTAGCCAAATTATATATTTTTATACGTTTATTTCGAATTATATATTTCAACTGAAGCTTATCAGCTTTATTAGCATGTAACAGAGACTTTGACACTATGTGCAAGTGGTTTAGAGGGCGTCAAAATGAATACATAATACTCTCTTTGTCGTATGAGCTAGTATGGAAAACGAGTAGCTCTTTGAGACCAACATTGTAATTAATTAAATAAAATTTGATTCGCCATTAAGTTGTACCACACCTGCAACAATAGTATTTAATTTCCATTCTGCTTGATACTGTGATATTTCAACATTAATAGCTGCCGAGACTTATTAATCACAGCAAATATAGGACAAAGAGTATCGGAATCATCATCTACATCCATCATTGTTAATATATTATGATGGGTATCCCTTTTTATAATAGCTTATGGTACAGTATAATTATTAATGTTTGGTATTTGATTGTTTTCAATTGGTCGTATTGCCCATTCGTTCAATTTCTTAAATATTTCTTTTCTTTTTAATTTAATTTCTTACAATATTTTATGCAAACAGCTAAATGTTAAAATTAAACTCATTGACTTCTGGCAAGTTAAAAATACAATACTAACGTTTTATAACAGGTACGGAATTAAGATTCATTGAAAAACTTGCTTAAAATAATGCCAATAAAAATGATACTACATGTTGATTTTATGAAAACTGTGGAAACTTTACTTAATTGTTATTCTTGCATGTTTTTAACTTTGATTACATCGTGAATTCTTTAACATTAAGTTTAATATTGTGCCAATGATCCTTTTAGAAAATTTTTAATACGTTGTTAACCAATGGCGAATTAAAATATTTTGGTGCCCGGGACTATTTTAAAGCAGGAGACCCTTTCCATGTCATTAATCAAAGATTTTATTCACAACACCGTTTATAACCCTTCTACTGTGCAAGATCATTGATTTTATTTTTAAATCTTTACTAAGACCAGAATGTATGTCAGATATTATACTTTGCTGTTGATCCCTACCTGTTGAAATGCTTCGCAGCTTTTCGGAAGTTAGACTTTTTTCTTTTATCATCTTTAACTACTAAAGGATAATTTTTTTTAGCTCTTTTTTCTATTGTTACAAATTCAATATACGGCATCATTTTTATAAGCAAAAGTGTGGAAAATCAATGTTGTAACAACATTGTTGTTACAATCAAAGTTGTTACAACATTGATTTTCCACACCTTAGTTCAATGATTAAAATGTAAAACTGTTTCTCTTTTTTTTTATTCTTTAGATTATGTTAGCCAGGTTTTTTAACATCTTCAGTAAATATTTTTCAGCTATTCATTTAGTTAAAAAAAGCATAAACAAAATTAAAAAATGTAAAGCTTATTGTCGTTAAAAAATTGCATGTTAAAATTTGTTCCGAGGTATTAATTCTAATACGATAATATAGGATAACTAATATGATCCTTATATGAAACTAATATATCCTCTAATACGATAACTAATATGATAAGTAATACAATAAATTAAAATTTAGTAATAAATACTTTATTTGAAGTATTTCTAGAGTTACTTGTTTACTGATGGAAGTACTTATTTACTAGCCTTAAATAACTGGGGGAGTACCTTTTTTACAGGAAATCATTTTAAGCAGCTAAACCGATCTGTAAAAACGGTATATAAAAAACTGTGAAAAGTTGTTTTGAGCATATTCGGTGCCGTTTTTTATTGCCTTATTATGTACAAAAAAACACTATTGCGAAATATGTTTAAGTTAAGGCAAATTTTACGTCAGGCATTCTCAGAAGTTGGTACTTTTTAGCCAGCACCCAGCACAATTGGGCTTTTGCTTAATTAAATTAAATTAAGAATAAAAAGAATTCTTGGCGTTTTAGCTTTAAAAAATGCTTCGGTTGTTAAATTCAAAACCACAGGTACTTATACAAATTTTGTTTTCAATATATTTGAAATCTAATTTTAAGCAGTTAGTTTTAAAAATAATATCGCCCCGCATATTATTGAAAATGAAAAGTTAGTGACTTAGATAATCAGTGCCAAGAGTTACAACAATAATTTTTTTTTTATTCTTAGTATTAAAAATTGTTGTGTTGTTTCACCCCAAAATACCTTACACTTGGTCTCAAAGGTCAGTGATGACAATTATGTATTACGTTTAAGACCTCGAGAATTATATGCTAAGTCTCTGACTTTAAGCTTTTGTCATACCATTACTAAAATAGTACAAAACATACAATCAGCAAAATCTATTGATTTATATGTCCCCTGGGGACAACTAAATCAACTCTGAAGTTTAATATCAATTTTTAAAATAATTTCATAAGTTATTTTTAAGCACATTAAAGATGCAGACAGCTCTGCATTTTTAATTATTTTTTTTCCATACTTTGGCGTGAAGGAAAAAATAATTATTACCCTTATATATGCATAACACTTATATATTATATTACACTTATATATTATATTACACTTATATATATATATATTATATATATATATATATATATATATATATATATATATATATATATATATATATATATAAGTGTAATATAATATAGTGTATAATGTTGCAGAATAGCGGTGTAAAATAAATTTATCTTTTAGCTTTTTTCTCTCTCGTCTGTTAACAAGCTTTTACATTTGTTTTTAAAAAATTTAAAAAACAAACTTTAAAAACTTTTAAGAAATAGTTCATATTTTGTTCAGAGAAATAAAAAATAACAATACTAAATCATATAGTTTTATGGAATTTTTTAATTGAGTGTTGAAGTTTTAAAAAGTTACTTTTTACTTTAATTTAACTCAATCTCAGATTTTTTTAAATCAAAAAATAAAATGATTTTACATCGCTATTCTGCAGCATTACCATATGCAGGCTTAGACAGCAATGGTTTGCGATCGCACTCTGTAACTGGCCACGCTAAGATTTTTTTTTCTTTACAACTTAACCACAGCTATTTTGATGTTCTAACAATTTAAATGCAATAAAAAAAAGTGTTATGTTATAAATAACTTTTAATCATTGATCTTTTATTTTATGTGAAGGCTTTAAATAAAATCATAAAATTAATTATAAAGATTGTTTATATAAACGTATGTGTAAATTAATAAAAAATGTTATACATTTTTTATACGTGGGCATGTATTTTTGATGATAAATTTAAACATTTGAAACTATTTTTCCATATCTTCCTAAAAATCTTTTAAATCATTATTTTTAGAAAGAATTTTTTTTAAGTTACTTTAATTTATGAATAAGTTCAAAATCTTTTGTGACTACTTGCTTTTACACATTTTATGTGAATTATACAAGAATACAAAATAGCTTTTTATTATGTAATGCTCAAATTAAAAATTAAATTAAATTGCTTGTTGGCAGTTTATTTTATTTAAATCACAGGCACATTTTATTTATTTTTTTCCTATTTTTATTAATAAAAAAGTTGAAAACCTTTTTTTTAACACGACTTACTAATTAGAGCATGAAATTATTAAATATTAGTATTTAAAAAGACTACGTTATTTTTTTAAACAACTTTTTTCAAGTTTAAGTTTTTATGTTTTATTTATTTTTTATTTTAGTGCTTATATTTTACATTCAAAATTTTTTTTCATTTTTTTTTTTTTTTTTTTTCGTTTTTTTTTTTCATTTTTTCTAGCTTATGTTTAGCATATATCATTATCTATTTAGCATAGACTCTAGTCTCTTCATTCGATGCATTTCTAAAATGTTTAAATCATCAAAACATATAAACAATCGTGGTCAAGTAGTCAAAAAATAAAATCATTTGCGTGGTCAGCAATAGCGCTTAATAGCATTCCTGTCCAAACCTGCATATGTATAAACATATATGTATATGCATACATACATACATATTCACAAGCTTTCCTGGGAAATGTGTGCAGTTCCATGCCTTGTTTGTCCACATTTAAAGTAATTTTTTTAGACAACTTGACCATGTTTTTATATAGTGTTTTTAAAATTTGCGACAAAAAAAACTATAAGAAACTACAGAGAAAAAAACAGTAATACTCAAAGAAAGGAAACGAATACTATACGAAATAGAAAATCTAAACTAAATAAACTAAAAAAAAATTTGAAAATTAAAAAAAAGAAAAATTAAAAAAAGAAAAATCAAAAATATAATATAACTAAATATTTAACTGTTTTTGTTTTCTTTTTTTCTTTTTAAAGCATTTGTTATTTTCCACTACCAAAATTGATATTGAATTGAGGAAAAAATCAGATAAGAATATACACCGAGACATAATTTTTTTACGAACAGAGTGATACCTCATTGGAATGCTTTACCTGAAAAAGTGGTTTCTGCAATGACAGTAAATTCTTTTAAAGCTAGACTAGATAAATATTTGTTAACGGCTGTTAAAGTATAAATTTTAAACTTTATACTCCGCGACAATCGTCGTTACAGCAGTTTGTATTACTATTACTAATATAATAAAAATAAAATCATTTTTTGATATGCAATTTATTTTCAACTTATGTCAGTTAGTATATTAAGGAAACACTTTATTATTTGCGCTAGAAATATGGACAATTTTGAAATTCTTTTTCAAATAATTTTGCTAAACTTTACTGTTTTTATCAATGCACAGGAAAGAGAGGAAACTAATTAATATTTGTTTGTAATAAATTTTTTATTTATTTTTCAACGAGTTTATCATGTAAAAAAAAAAGTCATTAATACTAGTATTTGGTTGTTTTCACTTACCCCCATTGAAATAATCTGCACTTTCGTTGGATTCTGCAAATTGTGCATTTAAACTTGATAGTTATTTCCTGATGAATTATTGTTATTGACGATGCTTGTGGGATAGTGCTTTGCAATTTACTGAACTTTTTTAACGAAATTTTTACAAGCCTATTTAAAATTTTTTTTAAGTTTTTAAATACATTTTTTTAAACAAAGCAATCGTTAGGTTCATTATCTTTAGTGTTTTGTATTAATGTTAGAAATTGGGCATTATAAAGAAAACAATTTCAGAGAGGCATTAAATACATTTATAAAAGAAACCATGCATATCTTTTATTTAATTTATTCTTTCATTACAAAATTTATTATTCAAATAATATTTGTTACAAATAAAAAGCAAACAAATAAATTTATTTTCTTATTTTCCTGTTATATAAGTATAGAGGAAAAAAAAATGTCAAGTATAGCAAAAACATTTTTAAAAGTGAAAAGATGTGAAAATGAATAAATGTAAGAAAAAAACTAACAAAATTTCTCATAGTTTTAGCGTACATAGCAAATTAGTATCTTGATTATACAGGCTGATAAAAATCATGAATAAATTGCATATCAAAACTTTTAACTGTCGTTAAATTGTTATAAAATATTTTTTTCCTCAACTTGTATTAAATTTGGTAGCTAAATATAACAACCACCCTAAAAAAACAAAGAATACAAAAATTGTAAAAAAATTTTATAAATTATATAATAATTATATATTTTAAAATTTTTTATTTCAAGTTATTAAATATTTCTAGTTTATTTGATTAAAATTTGATATTTCATTACTATTTTGATGCCTTTATTTAGAATAGTTTTTTTTCTCAGTAGATATGTTTAGCTTTTTGCCATGAATTATTGAAGCACTTAAAATATCAAATGATGCAAGCTGCTGTGGTCAGTGTGTTTAAAAAATTACTTTAAATATGGACAAACAAGGTGTGCCATTGTTGTTGATCATTTTCATACGTCTTGCATACTATTACTTCTTCATGCATATTAATTACATTTTCTACGTGTTGATATAGGTTTTTTTTATGGTGATTTTTTAAACTATTGGGAATTTCAAACCAATTGGGAATTCTGTGTTAAATGCGGAATTCCCAATTATATATATATATATATATATATATATATATATATATATATATATATATATATATATATATATATATATATATATATATATATATATATATATATATATATATATATATTCACATATATATATATATATATTCACATATATATATATATATATATATATATATATATATATATATATATATATATATATATATATATATATATATATATATATATATTCACATATATATATATTCACATATATATATATATATATATATATATATATATATATATATATATATATATATATATATAAATATATATATATATATATGCATATGCAGCACTCGAAATAACGGCCGTTCAACGATCAATGATCGGCTATTTTTAGGGAAATTTTAAAAAACAAGGAAATTCATCTGTTTTTCTCAAGGGAAATTCATCTGTTTTTGTAAAAAAATTACATTTGATCAGCAAGCTTTGAATAACTGTTTCGAGCGCTGTATATGTATATATATATATACACACACACACACACATACACACACACACACACACACACACACACACACACACACACACACACACACACACACACACACACACACACATATATATATATTAGTGTGTAAATATTAGTGTGTGTGTGTGTGTGTGAGTGTGTATTCCTAAAGGGTTTAAAATTCCATAAGTTCAACGACCTTTTTTTTATTATTGAAGTAATAGGACAATTTTAATAAAAATTCCCAATATTTTGTAGAATATTAACAAATATTTCAAGTATCGTAATAATGCAATAAATTTATATTCCTGGCTAACATCCTGATATATATATTATATATATATATATATATATATATATATATATATATATATATATATATATATATATATATACTTAAATATAGAAAAAACAACTTTTAATGGAACTTAAAGTTTCATGCCTATCGGCAATCATCAGCCATGAAGTACAAATATATATATATATATATATATATACATATACAGAGCTTCCAGAAAGTATTAGCGCACTCAAATTTTTTTTATTACAGACAACTTCAAATCAATTTAAATTGTAAAGTAATTTTAATTACGAACTAGTTTTTTTTTTAATGAATAGTAAAACCAATTAAATTTAATTAGAATGTCAAATATTTGTCAAACTACCTATTTTTTTGATGAATTAATTAAAAGTTTAATGACTACTCTGAAAAATGTGTGAAATTACGCGTGCAAAAGTATTAGCGCACTCATTTAAAATGTGTTAGTACAGTTGTTTACTTCCTTTGAGAAAAACTTTTTTGGTTAATTTTTGTTAATTACTCTCTGCTGATTAATAATAGTCAATAAAAAATATAAGAAGCTTAAGTTGAAGTGACAGATATATCATTTGAAATACAGTTAGTTAAAATTTTAAAATTTGAACAACAAAAATATGGGTTTAAAGAGCATATCAATTGAAACAAAGTGGCAAGTTGTTGGCCTGCACAAAAATGGTCTCAGCAATCGAGAAATTGGACGTCAACATGAAATCTGTGAATGCAGCGACAACAAACCAACAACCCTAAAAAACCATAATGATTTTGGAGCAGTCGAAAACAAAAGTCGTTCTGCTCATCCCAAAATAATGTCAAAATAAAAACAAAAATAAAGCAATTATGCTTGCTAGTTGCAACCCGAACATAAGTATAGCTGAAATCGCCTCAGACTTGAATACAGTGATGGGTACACATCAAGTTAGCCGATCAACAATTAGCAAGCTGATGAAGAAAAAAACAATTCAATTCATACCTTGCAACAAAGAAGCCACTACTAAACATCAAAGACCGTCTCAAGCGAAGAAAATGGTGCAAAGAGAGAGCTGCATGGACTGTAGAGCAACAGAGAAAAGTATTTTTTCAGACGAGTCAAATTTTGAACTTATTAATCGCAAAAAAAGAGTTGCCGTGAGGAGATACAAAAACGAAAGATATAATTCTAATTTTATCATGTCAAGATATAGGAGGTTCAGTTGGTATTTGGGGCTGCATTGTTGGATCTAGCAATGGTCTGGCGCATCTTTACACTGATCGCATTAATCAACACGATATAGAGAGATATTAGAAGGTTATTTAAAGCCATCAATGGACCTTTTCAAAGCTGACTCCACCTGGCAATTTCAACAAGATAACACTCCTTGCCACACAGCACGCTAAGTTAAGCAATACATGAATGAAAAATGGTTGAACCTGATGCCTTGGTCCGCTCGCTCACCTGATTTGAATCATATTGAGAATCTTTGGAGTTGGATGGACTGCAAATTACAAAAAAGCAGGCCCACTTGGTGCAGCTCAAAATGCAAATGGAAGCATTGTGGAATACCGTGCATCAAGAACTAATCAAAAAACTTATAGATTCTATGCCGCGTAAAGTCTTGGCATGCCTTAAAAATAAAGGTGGTCACATAAAATGTTAAACTTTCCTAAAATCTTTGAAAAACTGTAAGTGCGCTAATACTTTTGCACACTTTTTTATTATTGTTTTTATCACTCTTATTGTATTCTAATTAAATTCAAGATAATAATAAAGAAACACTTTTATATATTTTACAATTAGTAATTCTGCATTATTTTATGAATTAGTTAAAAAAAAATTATCAATCAGTCTTTTATTGTTTTCAAAATACAATCCTTTAAAGTTCTTTGAGGTAAAAAAAATATGAGTGCGCTAATACTTTCTGGAAGCACTATGTATATATATATATATATATATATATATATATATATATATATATATATATATATATATATATATATATATATATATATATATATATATATATATATATATATATGTATATATATATATATATATATATATATATATATTTATTTATTTATATATATATATTTATATATATATATTTATTTATATATATATATATATTTATATATATATATATATATATTTATTTATATATATATAAATATATATATATATATATTTATTTATATATATATATATTTATTTATTTATATATATATATTTATATATATATATATATTTATATATATATATATATATATATATATATATATATATTTATATATTTATATATATATATAAATATATATATATATATATTTATTTATATATATATATATTTATATATATATATTTATATATATATATTTATATATATATATATTTATATATATATATATATTTATATATATATATATTTATTTATATATCAGTGCAATATACTCACTTTCTGTTGCTGTGATCCTGAATAAATTGAAGTAATTGCTTGATTATACACTTTTTGAGGTATACTTCTTGGTTGATAACCATTCCACCTGGTCTAAGATCACTTGTTATGATGATTTTTTGCAAAATAGCAGGCCAAATAAGAACATTTTGCTCATATTCTGCTTTTTTTTTAATGCTTGACATTATTTTGTGCTTGATTCCGGTCAATTAATACGGGTTGTTTCCAGTTATGAGTAAATTGCTTAATGTGAAGTAAGTTTTGTCATCAATAATAAATCTTAATTTTTATAGTTTTGTATGTAATAAACTTTTAGATTTTTGTCAAACCACAAAAGTCTGTACAGAGTTTTATTTTTTTTATTTTAGTTTTTGTGTTTATATTGCATAAAAAAGGCTTCTTCATATTCCTCAATATTAATGTTCCTCTGATTAAATGAATGGTTTTTTGGCTATGATTAAATTTTTTAAATTCTTTTATTTGCTAACTTACTTAATTACTAATTAACTAATTACTAACTGCAATGATTTACTTTATGATTAGACATTTTTAAAATTCAACTTTATTTTTGGAAGAGGTATTTCACCACTTTCAGTTATCTCTTAAATGATTCTTTTATTTTTGAATATATTTATAACAAATTGATCTTGAACAATTTCCAGATCAAAAAATTGTTAATAATGCTAATAATGGTTTGTCTTAATGTTCTTATCACGTTATGTGACTACGTTAACTTGTTACGTGATTTTAAATTTTGATTATTTTTCTTTTTTCTTTTTTGGTTTTTCCAAAAAAAAAACTGTCAATTATTGAAAAAAAGTTAATTAACTGATTAATTTTTGTAGTGTTAAGTGCTTAATGTCAATACAATTAAAAATTATAAGTAAAAACTTATAATTTTTAAATGTGTTGATTAAAATTTTTTTCCAATAACCTTTTAAAAAAAAGTTTTTAAAAGTTATTTAAAATTAATTTTTTCCAGACATTTCTCAACCAAATTCGCAATACAAAAGTAGTGGCAAGAGATGCTTCTCAAAAGGTTTTGAGTTTTAATTTTATACATTTTAAAATGTGTTTTTATTTTATACATTTTAAAATTGTAAAACAGAGTTTGTTTTAATAAGTTTTTGTTTTTTTAATAAAACACAAATCTAATTTACTCTAATTTGACTTGTTAGTTAATTCTAATTTTTATATATTACTTAAACTGTAGACTTTTTTTATGTTTAAGGTTGCAATCAGTAAGTTTGATCCAAATATTTACCTGCCTTATGAAAAGCTTAATAACAATCTTAAAATAGTAAAAGACAGGTTAGTTATTTTTTATCTTAAAATAACAATTGTAAAATACTGAATGACAGGTTTTTATTTTAGATAAATTAACTATTAAATAAATAAACCTAAAAAATAAAAAACTAAGATTCCTTAAAGAGATTCTTAAACGATGAGACAAGTTGTGTTTATATTAAAGAAGATGTTTAAAAATTTAAGTTTTTATTAAAATGCATTTATTATTTTATTATAGTCAAAAAAATGTAGCAAACGTTTATTATGAAGAATATAAAGACAACTTTTTCTTCAATATGGTAATATTTAATATAACTTGGCTCAGCGCTTGGTGATCTGTTTAACTAGACTATTTCTAATTTTAATTAAATTGTTTCTTTCAGTATTCTAACTAGATGTCAGGACCCATAAAAAGGGTTGCAATATATATTTACAGTACTAGAAAAATTGTCACTGCTTATATACTCTAGGCAGGGCTCAATTTAACAGTCTGACATCGGACATTGTCTGGCTAAAACCTCATATTGTCAGATCAATTTATAAAGTAATCAGACATTTTGACTGACAGGAATTAAATTCTACAAAATAAAGCTTGGACAGAAATGGTGTGCGATCGAACGCTATTACTGACCAAGCAAATGATTTTTTTTGGTTACAACTTGACCACGACTGTTTAGATGTTTTGAAGATTTAAACGTTTTTAAAATTAAAAAAAAAAGAAACTTTAAGCTAAACTTTAACTAGGAAAAAGTATGAAAAACTAAAGAAAATGCAAAACAATTCCTTACAAAAAAGAAAATAAATTAGCTTTAGAAAAAAATTACTGTAAAACTTATCTTTTAAAATGTTTAATTAAAGTTACACAAAACGCTTTTACATATTGCCTCTATTGATTATTTAATAAATAAACAAAATTTATTTAAATAACTGAAAGGTGAAATTGAACTATTGAAAAAAATATATATATAATATTTTTTAGTTGTATAAACATTTCTTTCAAAAAGTTGTTAATAAAAAATTGTTAAAAAGATAATGTAGTCTTTTTAAAATCGTAATTTTTAATCATTTCATGCTTTAATTAGTAAGTCAAGTTAAAAAAAGTTTTTTTAAACAATTTTTTGTAAAAATAGAAACAAAAAATAATAATAATAAAGCAATTAAACCATAGGAAGACTTTAAAGTAACTTAAAAAAATAATCTTTTAAAAGATTTTTAGAAAGACATGGAAAAATAGTTTCAAACGTTAAAATTTATCATAAAAAATACATATCTACTAAAAAAGAAATTTTAATATAACATTTAATTTACACATAATACATTTATTTTAAACGATCATTATAATTAATTTTTCATTTTATTTTAAGCCTTTGCATAAAATAAAAACTTTAAAAAAGATCAATGATTAAAAGTTATTTTTAACATAACTTTTTTTTTTATTGCTTTATTTTTAATTGTTAAAACATCAAAATTGTCAAATTGTAAAGGAAAAAAAAAAAAAATAAGCGTTGTCAGTTACAGCTAGAAAATTTAAGTCTATCTAAAAAAACATGCAATATTAAATTGAAACTATTTTATTAAAAAACAAAAATCTGCGATGAAATATTTTAAATAAAAAGGGAAAAATCTACAATTTCAATAGACTAACTTTAAATAAACTGAATAACATGACAAAAATTTTGATTGCATAACTTGGTTTTGTAAAACCATAAAAATTATATTTTAAAAATTTGATCGAACACTGTCCAACCCATATAAGTTTTGATCGGACATTTTGTCCGGGACATTTAAAAAAAATAAATTGACCCCTGTCTAGGTATATCAAAGTTTTTAATACTTGGTTTCACCACTTTCAATGCTTTCACTTTCTTGGGCATATCCATAATTAAATCATATCATAATTTGGTGATTCTCTTGCTGTGGAACCAGACATTGATTAACATCTCTATGAGCTGCATTTTTTGTAGTGATAAGAACTTTATGTATTTTTCCTTTCAAAATGTTCCATAAATTCTCAATTGGGTTCATATCTGGTAATCTATAAACTTTTTCTGGTTCATCATTCCTTCTACAATGTTGATGGCTTGTTCCATAGATTGATATCACTCCCTATATCATGATCTTTGTGGGAGTTTAACCTTAAGAAAACCTCAATGTTTTCTTAATCTTAAACTCATCTGCTCTTCTTAACTCCAACTCTTCTTCTGACTGTCTGGACCCTATCATCCAACACAGCAATTGTTGACTCATTAGAGAATATAACCTGAAATAAATAAATGCTTTGTAAGTATAAAAGAAATCGCAGTAAAAACATTACATTAATAGTTATAATCAGCACCTACTGATATTAGTCAAAAAGTATGAAACTGAAAGAAATCAAGAAATCAATTCTACCAGAGGTAAACACAATTTGTCTCCATTAAAAGATTAAGATTCTTTTCGTTTCCCCATCACTTCAAAATCCATCAAAAGATTTTGCTGAAGATTTTTTTCAAAGAGAAACTTTGTATAGTCCAAGTACATCATACACTACAGAAATTAAAATGAAAGTGATGCAAATTCAAGTTAACATATTTCAGGGTTTGTGGGCTAATTTCATCAACCTGTCTGGCCTGGTTTGTGGGCTAATTTCATCAACCTGTCTGGCTTTTAAATGATCCTAAAATGAATAAAACTAGAATAAACAATGGATTTCATTTAACTATAAAATTGTCCCATTACTATTCATATGTATGCTTGAACTTTTTGTCCAATTGAACCATAACACTCTTTAAACAATCAAACAGACAAAGCAACAAATGAGTATATTTAATGTGCATGAAGTAGAAAAGAAATTATTCTTAATATGCATGTATTTGCTAAAAATTCTAATTTAGAAACTATTAATTTTTTTTCAGCAATTCACTTTCTGCTTGAAATTAGTAACACTCTTTTTCTTAGTAGCTTTATAGCAAGAATTGTTTTAGAAAAACTTGTTTAACATTAGTTCAAAATGACATCTTACTGATCTTGAATGAGAAATTATAACTAATATTAAATTTATTGTGGAATAACTAGAGATAGCTTGAAGTATTACTTATAAAAGTATTCTCTATTTAGTAACACCTAAATGTAAAAAAAAAGTGTTTTCTATTAAGTAGGTCTTGATACAACATTTAAATGTTAAAAAAAAAATTGTTCTTTATTAAGTCTTGATACAACACCTAAATGTAAAAATAGTAAGTACAAAAAACTTCTAATCCTAATGATAAATAATGTTAAAAAAAAATTTGATTATTTTATACAGGCTTTTAATATCTTCCTGACAGTGTTAATCTATTGTTAGACATTCCAATCACTCCTATTGTCTGCAATGCCGTCAAATAAGCAAAAATTACATTTTCATAAATTACTCAAAATCATGTCAAATTTGCTACAAAATAAAATGTATAGAAACAACGAATGTGTTGTTTGTGAAAACCTATATTATGTGTTGTTTGTGAAAACCTTATGTTATGTGTTGTTTGCGAAAACTTATGTTATGTGTTGTTTGTGAAAACCTTATGTTATGTGTTGTTTGTGAAAACTTATGTTATGTGTTGTTTGTGAAAACCTTATGTTATGTGTTGTTTGTGAAAACCTTATGTTATGTGTTGTTTGTGAAAACTTATGTTATGTGTTGTTTGTGAAAACCTTATGTTATGTGTTGTTTGTGAAAACCTTATGTTATGTGTTGTTTGTGAAAACTTATGTTATGTGTTATTTGTGAAAACCTTATGTTATGTGTTGTTTGTGAAAACCTTATGTTATGTGTTGTTTGTGAAAACTTATGTTATGTGTTGTTTGTGAAAACCTTATGTTATGTGTTGTTTGTGAAAACCTTATGTTATGTGTTGTTTGTGAAAACCTTATGTTATGTGTTGTTTGTGAAAAACTTATGTTATGTGTTGATTGTGAAAACCTTATGTTATGTGTTGTTTGTGAAAACCTTATGTTATGTGTTGTTTGTGAAAAACTTATGTTATGTGTTGATTGTGAAAACCTTATGTTATGTGTTGTTTGTGAAAACCTTATGTTATGTGTTGTTTGTGAAAAACTTATGTTATGTGTTGATTGTGAAAACCTTATGTTATGTGTTGTTTGTGAAAACCTTTTGTTATGTGTTGTTTGTGAAAACCTTATGTTATGTGTTGTTTGTGAAAACCTTATGTTATGTGTTGTTTGTGAAAACTTATGTTATGTGTTGTTTGTGAAAACCTTATGTTATGTGTTGTTTGTGAAAACCTTATGTTATGTGTTGTTTGTGAAAACTTATGTTTTGTGTTGTTTGTGAAAACCTTATGTTATGTGTTGTTTGTGAAAACCTTATGTTATGTGTTGTTTGTGAAAACCTTATGTTATGTGTTGTTTGTGAAAACCTTATGTTATGTGTTGATTGTGAAAACCTTATGTTATGTGTTGTTTGTGAAAACCTTATGTTATGTGTTGTTTGTGAAAACCTTATGTTATGTGTTGATTGTGAAAACCTTATGTTATGTGTTGTTTGTGAAAACCTTATGTTATGTGTTGTTTGTGAAAACCTTATGTTATGTGTTGTTTGTGAAAACCTTATGTTATGTGTTGTTTGTGAAAAACTTATGTTATGTGTTGATTGTGAAAACCTTATGTTATGTGTTGTTTGTGAAAACCTTATGTTATGTGTTGTTTGTGAAAACCTTATGTTATGTGTTGTTTGTGAAAACCTTATGTTATGTGTTGTTTGTGAAAACCTTATGTTATGTGTTGTTTGTGAAAACCTTATGTTATGTGTTGTTTGTGAAAACCTTATGTTATGTGTTGTTTGTGAAAACCTTATGTTATGTGTTGTTTGTGAAAACCTTATGTTATGTGTTGTTTGTGAAAACCTTATGTTATGTGTTGTTTGTGAAAACCTTATGTTATGTGTTGTTTGTGAAAACCATATGTTATGTGTTGTTTGTGAAAACCTTATGTTATGTGTTGATTGTGAAAACCTTATGTTATGTGTTGTTTGTGAAAACCTTATGTTATGTGTTGATTGTGAAAACCTTATGTTATGTGTTGTTTGTGAAAACCTTATGTTATGTGTTGTTTGTGAAAACCTTATGTTATGTGTTGTTTGTGAAAACCTTATGTTATGTGTTGTTTGTGAAAAACTTATGTTATGTGTTGTTTGTGAAAACCTTATGTTATGTGTTGTTTGTGAAAAACTTATGTTATGTGTTGATTGTGAAAACCTTATGTTATGTGTTGTTTGTGAAAACCTTATGTTATGTGTTGTTTGTGAAAACCTTATGTTATGTGTTGTTTGTGAAAACCTTATGTTATGTGTTGTTTGTGAAAACCTTATGTTATGTGTTGTTTGTGAAAACCTTATGTTATGTGTTGTTTGTGAAAACCTTATGTTATGTGTTGTTTGTGAAAACCTTATGTTATGTGTTGTTTGTGAAAACCTTATGTTATGTGTTGATTGTGAAAACCTTATGTTATGTGTTGTTTGTGAAAACCTTATGTTATGTGTTGTTTGTGAAAACCTTATGTTATGTGTTGTTTGTGAAAACCTTTTGTTATGTGTTGTTTGTGAAAACCTTATGTTATGTGTTGTTTGTGAAAACCTTATGTTATGTGTTGTTTGTGAAAACCTTATGTTATGTGTTGTTTGTGAAAACCTTATGTTATGTGTTGACTAGTGTTTTAAAATATCAAGTATAAAAATATCTTTACATTATACTTTGCATAAAAGTATCATGTGACACTGAATAAATTTTTATCTATTAAAATCTTTTTCTATTTTTATTTGCATTTCAATTAAATGACTGGAATTTTTAATGTATAAGTTTATAGAAAGTTGTACGTTTGTAAAAAATTTATTACTTATAATTACTACTTACTTGTAATTGACTACTTACTGTAAGTATACTTGTAATTGATCAATGATTTTGACCTAAGTATATTTGTAGTTGTCAGCAAACAGGTTAAATAATAATGCAACTTCTAATATAATTGGTTTCCAGATCAAGGGTTCTAAGACAATGTATGAGATTCTAACTAAACATTTTGTAAACTAAACATTTTGTCAATTAAACATGCAAAATAAAAGAGAACTTTTGTTCCAAAAATATTTTCTGCAAACTTTGATTTATGCAATTGAGTTTTGTAATGTGAATGAAAAGCATTTTTTAAATGCTATCTTTTTTAATTTTTTTTTGTCAAAATTATTTTAACTAAGTAAATTTTAATTTGTTAAAATTTTCTATCTTTGTAATTTATAATTTGTAAAAAAGAGTTTGATCCCCATGCTCCTCCCTGATAATACTGCACTTGACTTGCTACTACATACTGTGGGCTTGTTTGTCAAGGTTCACATTTTTAAATTGAAAAAAAGTAAAAAAAAAAACAAAAACTTGATTAAAACTTTTAAACTTAAAAAAATTGTTTTTTAATTACTTTTATATTTTAACTTTTTGAAAATTTAAAAAGTTTTTTAAATTATTTTTCATGCAAATCTTTGCTGTTTTTAATATATAATTTTTATCTTTTTGTAATTGTATTTAGTTCAAAAGATTTTTTAATATTTTCTGTATATTTTTATTCTAATTTGGCTATTTGTTTTTGTATTCTTGTGTATTATAGTGAATAGTTCATATTGTTATATGTTTTAGTGTGTTGTTTGCATTGGTATGTATTTTATATTTAGTTTAATGTTGCCAACTTTGTATAGTTCATATTGTTATATGTTTTAGTGTGTTGTTTGCATTGGTATGTATTTTATATTTAGTTTAATGTTGCCAACTTTGTATAGTGTATATAAGCTGTTGTATATAAGCTGTGGTGTATATAAAAACAAGTGACTTATTGTTATTATTATTATTATTGTTGTTGTTGTTATTATTATTATTATTGTTGTTGTTATTATTATTATTTTATTGTTTTATTATTATTGTAGTTTTTATGTTTTTTACTTTAAATACTATTTTTATTACTATCATTACTATTTTATAATTATTATTAGTTATATATAAAGATCTGTATTTTTGGTGTTTACTTAAAATTAGTAAAACTATTATTTGTAAATATCCATGAAAATATTTTTCAGAATATATGATTGATATTTATATTGAAATTAACCAATAAGTATATTATTTATCTTATAGATTAAAGCGACCACTTACTACAGCTGAAAAAGTTCTTTACAGTCACTTAGATGACCCTAAAAATCAAGTAAATATTTAAGATTTATTATTAACTATTTTATAAAAACTTTAAGCCTAATATTTTTCATAGTCCTTTCATAATTCTTTCATTGTTTTTGCCTTTTTTTGAAATTTCTATCAATGAGGAATTAGCAATATGCTTTTCAAAAAGCAGTTACATTAACTTTAATCTTTTAATAAATAAATCTTAATAAATTTTTTACTTTAATCAGACCTGACTGTTGTAATATTGGTGACAGTGTAGTGATATGGAAAAACTTCAGAAAAAATAAACAACTAAGCTTACACAAGATGCTAAGAAGAATTTAAGCAAAAGGTGCAGGCAATGATCCCAGTTTATTTCCTGGCTAATCTTGAATCAAGATTAACAATATTAACAGAGGTAAAAGATTTAACCGATAAAGAAGGTTGAAATTGCATTTTGCAGCCTCAAAGAGTCCAGATTTTTATTCCTTAGTTTGGTTGAATTTATAGCAGAAGTTGCACCAAGTTTTAAAAGTTTATGTTTCAAAATTCACACTTTTTAATCTATAAAACCATGTGATTGGTAGAAATCTAATAATGATCGTGTGAATCATGAATTACTGGAAGTTGTTGATCAGTTACTTACTGTTGTTGCTTTATCTTTAAGTTTTGAAAGAGTATTTTTATCATTGGTCTATCTCTATCAACATATAGAAAAAAAATTGAAAAACTCTTTCACTGAAAAAACTTTGAAAATAAATGTGCCATAGTAATCGCAAGTGATTTTTATCACAGTTACGGTCAAACATTAAATTTTTATTTAATTTAGAAAAATAGTTATTTTTGACTATTTTCACAAATTATTTTATCATTTCTAAATGAAGTTTTATACTCATTGTTCACAAATCAAAATATTAAACATAAAAATCACCTAAATTTTTAAATATATCTTTTACTAATATTCGTGGTCTGCGAAGCAACCATCCATCAGTTGAATCGTACCGAGCAAAAGTTCACCAGACTTGCTTGGTCTTAGCGAGGCTAATTTAAATTCTGCTATTCCTTCTTCAATGTTGTGTACTATCCTTTGATTCGCAAAGACTACAATAGTCATATGCTCGGCTTAGGGGTATACATACGCATCAATTCACCTATTTGTCGTAAAATCAGGTTTGAATCCTTTGACCATTCCTTTATGTGCTTCTACTTAGCACCTTTTCACTCTATATCTTTATCTTGTTCTTTATCTTTGTCCTTTCCAAGACTGCACTCTTTTAGATATAATTTCTGATAAAATTTACTATGCTCTCTCTGTTTACGCCTCTGCCAATTTTGTTGTTATTGGTGACTTTAATGCTCATTACACTGAATGGAATGGCTCAAATGCCACTGACCCTGCTGGCACTAAAGCCTATAACTTCTGCATTTCCTAATCTCTTACTCACATAGTTAACTTAGTGACACGTTTTCATGACAACCCTAATCGTTTACCTTCACTCCTTGATTTATGTCTGTTCTCTGATCCTAGCTTGTGGGGTCAGTTTCTCCTTTCTCTCCCTTAGGTGGTTCTGACCATGCAATGATCTCTTTAAATCTTTTATCTCGTACTTCATCTTTGGACTCATCCTCTCATCGCACTACTTACTAATACCCTGAAGCTGACTAGAACTCTTTTCGTGATTTTCTACGTGACGGTCCTTGGGCTGATGTCAGCTGAAAAATGCGCCTCCAATGTAACCTCCTGGATTCATGCAGGAATGGATGCTTTTATTCCTTCTTGTCAGTTTCAAGTCAAGCCTCATTCTACTCCATGGTTTTCACCCTCTTGTGCAGCTGCTATATATATCTAATCGTAATCCTTTTTTTCATCTTTTTCAAAAGAAGAACTTTCTTGAGAACAAACAGCTATTTATTATTGCAAGAAATCGATGTATATAGATGCTGTCAGATGCTAAGCTCCCTTATTCTCAGTTCTCTAAATCTTGTATCTTATCTCAGAAGTTAGGTTCTAGAGACTTTCGGAAAATCTTCAACTGCGTTGTTAACAAGGTCTAATATTCCATCTCTCATTCATGGGACTGATCTTATTACCTCTCCCAAGGATTAGGACAATTATTTGCAAAAAACTTTTTTTATAATTCGACTCTTGAATCTTATGGCCATTCTCTACCTTCTATTCCAGGTTAACCCATTGTTAGACATTCATATCACTCCATTTTCTGTTGCTAAAGTCATATCTTGATTAAATTCTTCTACAGCTTGTGTTCTAGACAACATTCCTGACACAGTCTCACAAAATTGTTCTCAAGAACTCTCTTCAGTTTTCTCTAAACTGTTTAATAAGTGCTTGACTGAGTCTTACTTTCCTGCCTCCTGGAAAATGGCATCTGTTGTTCCAATTTTCAAAAACTCCATTGAACATTCTAAATTATCAACAAGTACTTGACTGAGTCTTGTTTTCCTGCCTGCTGGAAAATAGCATCTGTTGTTCCAACTTTCAAACACTCCATTGAACATTCAGACCCCTCAGATTATTGTCCGATCAGTCCTTTTTCTATTATTAGCAAGGTCTTCGAGTCTTTGATAAACAAAATTCTCACATCTTGAGTCAAATAATTTACTGTCAGACAATCAATACATTGATCCTCTCGCTGACTTGCTAACTGCTGTAACTAAAAGATTTTATCGTGCATTAAATAGAGGCAGAGAGGCTAGGGCTATAGCTTTTGATATGTATAAGACTTTCAACAAAGTTTGGCATTCTGGTCTTCTCCATAATCTTGTTTCATATAGTGTATCTAGGAAAGCTTTTGAGATAATCAAATCATTTCTTTATTACCACTTTATTAAAGTCATCGTTGAAGGCCAACATTCTTCTTTATTTCCAGTAACTTCTGGGGTACCTCAAGGTTATATCCTTAGTCCTGTTTTGTTTCTTATCTACATTAATGATCTTCCCGACAACCTTACATCTAGAGTAGCTTGTAAATTTTAAATCCAACAAAGCTTAGTTATTTACTGAAAACAACTATCATACTGTTGAAATTCCTATATTAATGAATGGCAACCCTCTCACTGAGTCCTCTTCTTTATATCTTCTTGGATTATCATTTACTAATGACTTTCCACAGAAACCACATACAAATGGTTGCTAAATTAGCACCCGCTGAGAATGCTTCTCTTTATCGTGCTCACCATTTTCTCTCTCCTGATTCCATTTTCTCTACAATCTCTTATTCATTCCTGTATGGAATACTGTTATCATATTTGGGCTGGTTTTTCTAATGATGCCCTTTCTTCTAGACAAGGTCCAAAAACGCATTGAAAACATAATTGAACCCGGTCTAACTCCTAAGCTTGAGTTTCTTTCCCATCGTCATAAAGTTGCATCTCTTTCTCATGGTTGCTGCTCAATGGAGCTTTTATCTCTAGTCCCATCAACTAAAACTCATTCTCGCTTGACTTGTCATTCATCAAAGTCACATCCTTTTCTGTATCTGTCCATTTATGCTCCAAAATTTTTTATTCGTTTAGTTTTTTTCCTTGCTCTTCATGTTTTCCTGACTCATACAACCTTAAACTTTTTAAGTCTTCTGTCAACTGTTTCCTTGCTCTATAACTCTATTCTTTTTTTCTAGTAACTCCTAACTTGTTAGTGGTTGCTTGCAGCCTTGTTGGGAGTGAATCAGAATTTAAAAAAGAAAAAAAATTTTTAGATGGTAAATATGACTTAAAAATATCAAAACTGCAAATAATCAAACCAAAGCAGCGTGCATTATATTTAGAATCATGCACTGATTACATTTTGTTTTAAGAAAACAAATTTGGTTTAAATAATTTGAATAGAAAGTGAACCAGAATAATATTTTGTGTATGTAAGCTTTGAGTTATTTTTATAGATTTTTATGAGTAATTTTCTTATAATTTATTTATGACTACTAATGTATTATTATATAAGATAGAAAAAAGAATTATTATATAAGATATATTATAAAAGTTGTCAAAAAATGAAATAACAAATGTAAAATTGCATTTTTAGATAACATTTTCTAATGAAATTAATTTTGCTTAGCCAAAGTTTTGGTTTTAGTTTCGGTAAATTGTGTACTGAAATGTCGGTTTATGTATTGAATTACTATACCCTAAATTAAAAGAAAATAATTTGGACAAAAATGTTTTAATAAGCAATTAATTACAAACAATATGAAGTTTAACTCTTTATTCAACATTTATCACACCAAAACTAATAAAATAAAAATGCTTTATGACAGCATTTAAAAGAATTTTTTTTAATTTTTAATTCAAGGTTGATTTTAAAGATAACAAGTATGTTCATTTTACTTTTGTTAAAATAAATATAAAAAAGTAGGAAAAAAAACTATTTAATAAATTGTGGATATTATGATTGGTAAAGTTATAGATAAAATTTGATCGGTTTTGATGAAATTTATTTAACTTAATTTTCTTTAAATAATTTAAAAAATTTAAAACCAATTTATTAAAGGATATTAAACGTGGAGTATCTTACTTAAAATTACGCCCTGATCGTGTTGCTATGCAGGATGCTACTGCACAAATGGCAATGCTCCAGTTTATTTCAAGTGGTTTACCAAAAGTAGCAGTACCATCTACTATTCATTGTGATCATCTGATTGAAGCACAACTAGGAGGAGACAAGGATTTGGCACGAGCAAAGGTTTCTAGTAATTTTTTTTTTTTTTTTTTTGTCAAAAAAAAAATCTAATAAAATAAATTTTTTATTGTATTTAAGTATTTAAGTTTTTTTTTTTTTTTTGATGATATTTTTTTCTTGTTGCTAATAGCAATGTCCTTTAATATAGTTAAATATAAAATAATCTTTTTGTTATCTGAGTGTTTTCATTAAAATATATTACCCAGAAACATGTTTTATTTCTTTATAGCTTGCAACCTATACATAATATAACCTGAATAAAAATATTATAAAGACCAGCATAGTGCTAGACAACTTTCATATATGTTATTGTTAATTCCCTGTTTTTGTTATATAAGTTATATATTAGTTTATTTAGTAATTAACTTTTACAAAAATGTTATAATGTTTGACAGAGCTAGGCTCCAGGCCTTGTTATGCTGATGAGTTTGATACATATAGTTCAATTATTTACTAGTGTTCTAATGCTGAACTGTTACTTGAAAATATTGATAGATTTTGAGTTGATGGTGTTGCTGGAAATTGCACTCCATGGTGCACAAACCCAATTTGTAAAAAAGTCTCTCTACAGTTTTTGATTTGTTGTGGTTGAAGCAATAATTCATGGTTTTATCTTAGGTCATACAACATTGACTTGAAAAAGGGATAACATTGTGGTACATAGAAAGTATTGAAGGGTTAAATGTTACAACCTAAATGAATTGTCATGTGTTGTCGTTAGGGGTGTACCGGATTGGAAATTTTGAATTCCAGCCAGAACCGGATTTGCCGGAATTGTTGAAAAAATTCTGGCCTGAACGAGGTTTATATTTATGTAGTTTTTTACTTTCAAGATTGAAAGTGAAAGGCTGGATCTCAGCATCATGGCTACATAATATATATTTATAACCTAATATATATATATATATATATATATATATATATATATATATATATATATATATATATATATATATATATATATACATACATGTTCCACGATTTTATGCATTGGTTTGTAATAGAATTATCACTTTATTTTACAGAACAGTGATTTGGGATAATTTAAAGTTACTAAAAGATCGTAAAAAGGTGGTAAAAAATTGGAGAATGACTGAGGGAGGTTTACTTGTTTATGATTCCAGACAAATAGACAAAGATTACCTTTCTGCAATTAAATTACTTTTTAAAAGGATTAAAATACTTTTTAAAAGAAATAAATTTTAAGGTAATTTTTAAATAATTAAATAGTTATTTAAAAACAGGGTTGGCATTAAAAAACCTGCCTAAAAAAACCCGCCCAATAAAACCCAAAAAAACCCGCCTAAAAAAACCCAATAAAACCCTGGAAAATCTGGGTTTTATTGGGTTTTTTTAAAGGTATTTAATAAGTTTATGAACTATTATAACCAACTTTAACATTATAACTATAATATTATTTACTAAAATAATTATTAACTATTTTTATTAACTTAGTTATTATTAACTATTATTATTAACTATTATAACCAACAATAACAGCTATCAGAGCAGGTTTACTATTATTTGAATCATTATTTGGAAATACATTATTACAATTTTTATTCAAATATTTTTATCGATTGAGATTTTTATTACATAATGTTGTTCACCTCCCAAGTTGAATTTAAATGAGTAGTAGTGACCAGAGAAGCCAACACAACAGTCAAGGAGGCTACCTTATTGTGGTTACAACCCTCTCTCAACTCTTTTGCGGTAGTGGTGTTGTGGTAGAGCGCTCACTTCATAAGTGAGAGGTTCCGAGTTTGATCCCCACTACGTCCCTGGCAGTACCGCGCTCAACTCCTTTCTCCGCGCAGCGGCCTTGTTTGTCAAGGTTCATGTTTCGGAGTTATAGAGTTGAGAGAGGGTTATAACCACAAATAAGTAGCCTTCTCGCCTGTAGTGACCATAAGCTTTGAGGAGGTGAATTGATTTAAAGAAGAAAAAAAACTCTTTAACTCCTTAACACGAATCTTTATAAACAAGGCCGCTGCGCAGAGGAACAAGTTTGTTCATTTGAATTTCAAGTTCAAAGTTTAATTGAAACTTCAGTTACTACCTCCCATTCTCAAGCCTTCTTTTTCACATTTTCTCATTGACATTTTTAATTATATAAAATAATACTTTTAAATTTAAAATAAATCAATACATATAGATTAAGCGTGAAATTTTTTTTTCCTATTACAGTTTTAAATTATATTTAAAAATCTTTTTCAAAATAATTTGAAAAAATTGTTAAGACTGATTTAAAGAGATTTGATTTTTGTAGAAAAGATGCCAGAGAAAAATTAATTTTGAGATCTGGAATAACAGATGACAACATTTTAACAATCTGCCATCATCGTGATTTAAAAAGCAGAGCAATTCCTGGTGTTAGGAGCTATCATCAATTTAACTCAGAATCTATAATTCTATTAGCTTTAAATGAACAAGTGAAGATGTTAATATTACAAGCATTTCTTTTTATAGTGTTTAAAGTTCTCAAGCTAATCAGCAAACTAACATTGATAAATTGTAATTTGGTGGGTTTATTCTGTATAAATACTGTGTTGATGCGTTCCATTGGATTGGTATGATAAAATTTATTTTATTGAAATCTTTTCATGATGATCATGACAGAAAAAATATTAAAATTTGTCATTTGTTAGAGGTATTATAACAACATTTATAAACCTGTATGGGCCTTTTAACATATATTTTTCCGGTTATCTAGAAAAGATGGATGTTGGGTTTAACTACCAACACAATTTGTATCATTGATGCACCTGTAACAATAACTGGCACTTTATTTTTTTGTCTGAAAGGTAATGAAAAATCTATCACAAAATTCTGCTACAAAAAAGTGGGGTTCTTGCCCCAGTCCCCCCTAATGTCTTGGAGCTCTGTAAACAATTTTAACATGCATTAATGATAAAATTAATTATCTAGAACTTTATAGTTTTATGTAAACCTAATATTGATATGTAATTAATAGTTTTGTAAGTAAAGCTACAGTTTTGTAAATAAGTTCAGATCAGGTTACTTTGTTAGTACAGGTAAAGCTTCTTAGCTATGTGATGAAAAATTCTGATATAAAATCCCTATTTCAATGCGTGTAAGTGTTGGAGGAGCTAGTAAACCTTAGAAATATTGGTGATAGTATTATGTTAAAAATACCCAACTTGATCTGCAAAACAGGTTATTGCCAGAAAGGGATTACCTTTTTTGTAGTATATACATTAACATTAGTATGTAAGCTTATTTTTTTAATTTTATGATATGTTGTCAAGTTATGATTTGTTTTCATATATTAAAGGACATCAATAAAGAAGTATATGATTTTCTTTCATCTGCAAGTAAAAAGTATGGTGTTGGCTTCTGGAAACCTGGATCAGGAATCATTCATCAAGTATGTGTGTTTTATAATTATTTATCAAGTATGCCTGTTTTATAATTATTCATCAAGTATATGCGTTTTATAATTATTCATCAAGTATGTGCGTTTTATAATTATTCATCAAGTTTGAGATGTTCTATTAGTACAAAAAAATTAATTTATTTTTAAATTAATCTTTATTTATATAGTATGTCTATATATATATATATATATATATATATATATATATATATATATATATATATATATATATATATATATATATATATATATATATATATATATATATATATATATATATATATATATATATATATATATATATATATATATATAGCATAAATAATGACATGTGTAATATTATTTTTAAAATTTTTCATGAGTAAACAATTAAGTAAATTATGCTAAATAAAAGACTGATTTAAATCAAGGTTTTTATAATCAGGTTCTTTTAAAATTCAAATTTTATATTTTTTTATTTTTTTTTTACCCAATAATGTAGCTGTGATTAGCTAGGATTAAGTTTCAAGTTTGTAGAATGTTTATAAGTTATCAGTTTTCTAATGTGTGGAATGTTTCATATTAATTTTATCTTTACTGTTTTAAAAAACATGTGTTAAACTGAAACAGCTTTTAAACAAGATCTAAGCATTTTTATTTTGGATTGTCTTTCAGAGTTTTTGAATTATTTTTTTCTGGTCTGCAGCATCTGTTTATTTGCTCAACTTTGTTAACAACCTGTATATTTTCATCAAACTTTTCTAAGAGAGTTTTAAGAGAGAGGTTTCTTTAGAAAGTCAGGCTATATAAGAAAATTGTAAAGCTATATTTTTAAAATGTTTAAGTTCTTTAAAATTATTCTTTATTTACATTTCAATTCAAAGTATTATCAATAATCATTCTTACTTTTAAAAATAAATCAAAATTATACTTTGAGGAAATATTGAAAATTCTCATGTTCCGATATTAGATATTTAATAATATTCTGATTCAAAAATATTTTAATTTTGTTTAAAAGTGATTTTCTTGCCATTTATAAATGTTTAATGTTTTATATATTATATTTTCTATAATTATTCTTTTTTTTATATTAAAAACAAACATTTGTATTAACATATTTTTTTCTTTTTACTAAATAAATTTCTTTTACCTAAATATTCTAAAATTATTTAATATATTAGATTATTCTTGAAAACTATGCTTTCCCTGGTATACTGCTGATTGGTACAGATAGCCATACAGTTAATGGTGGAGGACTGGGTGGTGTAACTATTGGTGTAGGTGGTGCTGATGCAGTAGATGTGATGGCTGGAATACCTTGGGAATTAAAATGCCCTAAAGTAAGTCAATTTTAAACAGTCATTTTTTATTGTTTTGAGCTTTAAGTTTATTTTAATTTTCACAAATTTTAGATAATTGGTGTAAAATTAACAGGAAAACTTGGTGGTTGGACTTCTCCTAAAGATGTTATTTTAAAAGTAGCTGATATACTTACTGTTAAAGGAGGAACAGGAGCTATTATTGAGTACTATGGTCCTGGTGTCAACTCTATATCATGCACTGGTATGCCATTTACAAAAAAATGCTAACTAAAGAAAAAAATTTGATTCATTAAAAAAACATAGAAATTGTAAAAAAAAAAAAAAGAGAGAAAGTTTTGTATTTATTATCTTTAGGTATGGGAACTATTTGTAACATGGGTGCAGAAATAGGAGCAACAACTTCTATTTTTCCATTCAATGAAAGAATGACCCGTTACTTAAATGCTACTGGTCGTAAAGATATAGCTTTGCTTGCAGAGCAATATAAAAGTTTGTTAGAAGCTGATAATGGAGCTGAATATGATCAACAATTTGAAATTGATTTATCAACAGTAATTTAATTGTTTCTGAAATAAGAAGAAAAAAAAATCCTTAATGTTTTTTTGTTTTTCTTTGAGAAAGTTTTTATTAATTTAGTTAGAGCCCCTTGTCAATGGACCATTTACACCAGATCTAGCTCATCCTATCTCCAAGCTTGGCCAGAATGCTAAAAGTAATGGTTGGCCTACAGAAGTTAAAGTTGGTGAGTTGTTTAAAATATGTTTAAAATTGTAACCTATGACAGAAGATGCTGTGTATTTTTATTAAGTACTTAAAAAAAGTAGTAAAAGTATTTTTTATTATTGTTAGATTATCTTTGCGAGTATTCTCAATGTAATTGAACGGATTTTAAAGTTTTTCAAATACTTTGAGATAAATACTAGCAAAAATAATATAACTATCATTTTATAAGTTAAAAATGCTCCAGTCTGTCAATTAACTTAAAACTGGCAAATGTATAAATCTGTGTTGAAAAAATCCAAACATGCAGAAACTTGGTTGGGTGAAGCTTATCTTTTTTTCATCAAATAAAACATCGATCACCCAACCTGTGGGTTAAGGAATTATCAGATCTTTTAAAGTTAAATATTACTCACTTGCAATGAAAAATCATATTATCTCAGAAAAAGAGAGTACTTCACCTTTTTGATCTTAACTTAGATAACTTATTAAATTATTTTAAAAAACAAAAATATTGGCAGAAGCTTTGGTACAGATAATAACTAATAACAGTAATCTTTTCTGTAGCTTAGATGTTGAGAAGACTGTAATGTAGATGTTAAGGAGGTTGTAATACAGATTTTAAGGAGGCTGTAATGCAGAAAAATGTCAGGTCAGGTTATCCTGCTACTGGTAAGATGTAACCCAGTACAACCTGCTTCATGTCCTGCTGCTTTGTAGGATACTCATTTTTAGACAAAAGCTACAAGAAGCCAACACTAACTTAAAACACCCCCTGCCTTGGGGCTTGGTTGAGTAAAGGCTAGAGATGGTGTCTCAATAAAAATACTCATCTTGGGCAGATGTTAAACTCATCCGGCTACTGTTTTGTGAAAGGCCTTCTAGGCAAAGACAAAAGCAAAAGAAGGGGTAAACAGATTTTATCTGTTGACCTTCTCATACCCCTTTTTTATCTATTAGGCTAATGCAGATGTATTTATAATACATTGTTTCCAGTTTAGGATTTTGAATGCTGAATCTTCTTGACTTACTTCTCTGTGGTAGCTCTCAGAGAAGCTGATTTCATCAACAGCTGCAAAATATCAGAGTACTAACAGTGCTGTGTTGTGCATGGATGGTGTCCCTGTTCATACTTTTATTTTTCCTTGTAGTCAAAGGCACATTTGGAGCCCTTTGTTATGGCTTAGGGTTTATTAATAGTAATGAGTCAATTGCTTTGGCTATTATGTAGTGTACTGAGTACTATCTATGCTTTGAGTCAAGTTCTTTAACAAATTTAAAAATGAATGCAGTACCAAAAACTATATAACACAAAAAACCATCGTCATCACCAAGTTCTCTAAACCTATCATTCACTAATATTCGTGGTCTTCTAATTAACTTTTTTTCTGGTTGAGTCTTATCTCTTGCAAAGTTCACCAGACCTACTTGCACTTTGTAAGACTAATTTGAGTTCAGCTGTATCATCTTGTGATCTTAGTGTTGATGGTTATCTTCCTTTAATTCGTAAACACTCCAATAGTCACAAGCTTGGCCTAGTCATTTACATTTGTAAGAATTCACCCATTTGTCAGGAAACTAGGTTTGAATCCACTGACTATTCTTTTATGTGCTTTTATTTAGCACCACTTCACTCTATCACCTTTCTCTTTGTTGTATATCGCTCTCCTTCATCTCAAGACTGCACTAGAAGTGGTAAACGATTAATCAATTATTAAAAATTAATTGTTGATTGATAAATTAACAAACGATTAATTGATCAATTTTTTTCTTTATAAGTGTTATAGTTTTTTTTATATTAACACTTTGTTGTTATGATAGCAAAAAAGCATTTTTTAAAGAAACAATAACAACTGTTTTCACTTTTCTGGTACCGGTAAAAAAATGTAAACAAATAATACAATGCAGCAGTAGAGAAGCCTGAATGCCATTTACAATGTAAGTATTTGTCATTGGAAAACAAAGACAAATACTTACATTGTAAGTATTTGTCTTTCTTCTTCCAATCATAAGCAAGGTTTTTGAATCTTTACTTAACAAACACTTAATCTCTCATCTTAAATCTAACAACTTTGGATGGATTTTGATCTTCTTTTTCTACAGCTGATTTGCTAACAACCGATTGGTTTTATTGTGCATTAGATAGAGGTGGAGAGGTTAAGACTATCACTCTTGACATTTTTAAAGCTTTTAATAAAGTTTGGCATGCTGGTCAGGTGTATCAGGTAACACCTTTTTTTAATCCTTTCTTTCCAATCATAGTATAAAAGTTGTCCTCGATGGAGAGCACTCTTCTTCATATCCTGTAACTTCATGGGTTCCTCTATACTTGGCCCTATACTCTTTAATTTACATTAATGATCTTCCAGATATACTCACATCTAAGGTGATCTTGTTGGCTGATGATACTACCATTTATTCTTGTCTTGATAAGCCAACACTCTGATTGCTTGGAGGGGGCATTTGAGCTTGCAAAGGATCTCACTTCTGCTACAGCATGGGGCTCACTGGTGAATTTCAATTCAGATAAAACCTAATTTTTTTCAGCCAATCATTGCCATATTACCAGTAATTTAGATCTTCCTATATTTATAAGTAATGATTTACTTGACAAGTCATCTACCCTTCATCTTCTAGGATTAACTCTTAGTTTCGATCTTTTATGGAAACCATATAAACTTCATCTTTTCTCTTCTAGTAACTTCCAACTCTGATTAGTGGTTGCTTTCAGCTTTGTTGGAAGCGAAGATGTTGAAAAAGATATTGAGGAGGTTGTAATGCAGATGTTAAGGAGGCTGTAATGTAGATGTTGAGGAGGCTGTAATGTAGATGTTGAGGAGGCTGTAATGTAGATGTTGAGGAGGCTGTAATGTAGATGTTGAGGAGTCTGTTATTAGACCCCGGCTAAAAATATACTTTTTTCAAACCCGGCCTTGGCTAAACTATAAGATTTAGCAGGGGCTAGAAAAAAAATTCTAATGCTTCATATATTATAAATTTATACTTACATTTACTATTTATTAAATACTGCATATATTTATATATTCTCAAACTCTAATTTACTTCCAACAAGATTGCATGCAACCACTAACAAGTGAGTTTATTATGAGTTACTTTATTATTATGAGTTACTTTAAAATAGAGAATAAGTAAAATACTAAGAAATGCTTAACTGAAGACTTGAAAAGTTGTAGGTTTTATATAAAAGAAAAACATGAAAATGGCTAATAGTTATATGGTTTTGATATGCAAGGAAAAAAACTGGATTAATAAAAGTTTTTATAGCATGAAGGGACAGATACAGTAAAAGGATGCAACTTGTTGAATAAGAAACAAGCAAGAATGAGTTTTGGTTTATCCTAGAGATGATAGCTTGTTTCAGCATTGACCATGATGATATTTGTAGAAAAAATGTAACCTTACAACAATGGGAGAGTGGCTCAAGCTTGGCAGATAAAGCAGGTCTAATTTGCTATTATTTTTTTTATGTTAATTCACCTCCCCAAGGTTGAAAACGCTACTTCAGACAAGTAGGCTACTTAATTGTGGTTATAACCCTCTCTCAACTATATAACTCAGAAACACAAATATTGACAACCAAGTTGAGCGCGGTACTACTCGGGATGTGGTGGGGATTAAAATCGAAACCTCCCGCTTATGATGCGAGTGCTCTACCAGTGGTAGAGTGGTATGCGGTCGTGGTGTAGTGACCCCACAACCGCATTATAATTACAATCTGCTTTTAGACTGAGAGTTAGAGAGTTGTTGTTCATCAATATAGGAATACCAACATTATTGCAATATTTTTTTGCAATAAATAAATAAGTTTTGTTGTCTAACAAAAATTGCAGATTTGAAGTCCAGAATTTAAATCCATAATCACAGCAAGCCTTAGGCTGTTACAGAAGAGAGATCAGGTTTTTGGCTGCTTGTTCTAAGCAATCAAAAAGTAAAGATTTTTTGCCAAGACAAGAGTATAAAGTTGAGTCATCAACAAATAGAGCCAATTTAGATGTTTAATTTTCATGAAGATTGATATTGTAGATTAGAAACAATACAGAAATATTGAAGACTAGTCGTAGGATAGTTGGAGAGATCAAAGTGTTTTCTAGAGTTTTGAAATATTGGAACCACTTATTTAGCACTTTTTAAAAATTAAATATTATAAAATATTATATAATTAATAAGATTAAATGTTAGACTTACTTTAGTTAATGACGTTGTTGAAGACTAACCAGTCTCTAAAACCTAACATCTAATATAAGAAACAAGATTTAGTAAACAGAGCTTAACATCAGATAGGACCTTTATACTTTGGCTTCTTGGAATAATAAAAGGACATTTGTTCTTAAGATAAATGTTCTTGTAAAAAAGATGAAATAAGTGATTAATAAAGCAACAGTTCAAAATTGTAAAAAATATGGAGTAGAATGAGGTTAAAATTGAAGCGTAGGAATAAAAACTTTCAAACTTTCAAACAAAGGAATAAAAACTTCTAAGATACGCTTTATGCATCCATATTCTGGATATAAACATATGTTTTAAATATATTTAGATGCTGGCTTAAAAAATCCTTTCATGTTTGTATAAACTTTAGTATTTATATGGTATAGTATTTGCCGAAAGAAATGGTGGTGGTGGTGGTGGTGGTGGTGGTGATAATGATGATGATGTGATGATGATGATGATGATGATGATGATGATGATGATGATGATGATGATGATGATGATGATGATGATGATGATGATGGTGGTGGTGATTATAATGTTCATGTTGATCATATTGATGTTTATATATGCATATATATACAAAATATAACATGAATTTTGAATTAAGAAAATCTACTTTAGGATGTAGTTTATGCAGCTCCAGTCACAAACCTGGCCCCGGCTATAATTTATCAAACCCGGTCCTGGTCAAATATCAACCCTGGTCGTTTACTATTTGTAATGTAGATGTTGAGAAGAATAATGTAGATGTGTAGGAGGCTGTAATGTAGATGTTGAGAAGGCTGTAATATAGATGTTAAGGAGGCTGTTGAGGTGGCTGTATTGCAAATGTTGAGGAGGCAGTATTGCAGGTTTTGAGGAGTCTGTATTGCATATGTTGAGGAGGCAGTTTTGCAAATGTTGAGAAGGCAGATGTTGAGAATGTAGATTTTGAGGAGGCTGTAATGTAGATGTTATAGAGGCTGTAATGAAAAACTTGAAAGATGATATTGAATTGTTAAAAACAATATTCAGTGCTCATTTCAACATCACAGTCGAAGAGTTAATAAACATAGTTTTTTATGTTTGTATTGTCAACAAGTTTTCAGATGAGGACATCATTGCAGAAGTTTTTGGACAAGGCGCTATCAAAACTGAAGAGGAATCTGATGAGGAGTGGATTATAATTAAGATAGAGATAATGTGACAAAGTTTCTCAAACACATAAATTGTGTTAAGGACATGGATTTACACACTCATAAAAGTAAATCTACAATTACTCACATTTTTGTTTTGAAAATGTATAACATATAATATATATTGTAAAATTTATAACATATAGTTTATATTCTATTCTATTTATATTAATTTATATTCTATTCTATTATACTTTTTTGTTTGTTTTGATTATATTTGTTATTAACCAGAATATCTTAATAAAGTAACTTTCTATTATTCCAAAACCTCTCTAATTTGAAATTAATGAAATTTATTTGAAACTAATTTTTCCCTGTAAAGTTCCAAGTCCTTACAAAGTACTTCAGTTGCACTAAAATACTGTTATTTATTTGAAAAAATCTTATTACCATTTTGATTAAAATTGTTTGATAATATATTGTGTTATTTATAATAATTTTACTAATGACAGTTTTTACATTGCTTTAATGCTCTTTGATAAGTAAACATTAAATTTAAAGATAAGAAATAAATAAATGTAATGTAACATTAAAGAAGTTACATTTACTATACATATTATAAACATTTATTTAGTTGGTAAGTTTTATTAAGTTATTGAATCATTATTTTTAATGAGGTTGGACAAGTTAAATAAAAAAACAAAAAAAACAATGAAAGTATAAAGTTTATTTAAAAAAATCCTTAATTCAAAAGAAAAAAAACAAGTACAAGGTCATTCAACGGAAGCACTGCAAGGTTATTCATGTACAAGGTCATTCATTGCTATTACATTTTTAATTAAATTCATTCAAAAGTTACTACAAATTTTCAATGCTGTTACTATATTATTAGTGATTTTAATCTTATTTTTGTTTATTGTTATAAAGCAGAAACATGTATTGAACATATCTTTAAGTAAGTTTTTTTTATAAAATGTTATTTATTTACACATAGGTTCACGTTCACCCTGTATAAAATATTACTGAACTTTTTCTGCACAATTATTAAAAGATAGTTTTAAATGAATTTCTATTAAATAATAATTGTTTAATGAATATATTTAAAAAAGCAACAGCACATATTATATATTGGAAACAAGTTTGAGCATTTAAAAATTTGGTAGAGTTCAGTTTGAAATAGTTATTTTTAAATAATACTTAAGGTTTAATTGGAAGCTGCACAAACAGTAGCTATGAAGATATGGGAAGGTCTGCAAGTATTGCCAAACAAGCTCTTAGTCACGGAGTCAAAGCTAAGTAATGATTATTTCCATTTTCATTTGGAATGTTTAAATAAATATTTTTATGTAAACGTCAATGTTTTAACCCAATTTTGTTATTTTATTTTTGGTATTATTTAGATCAATATTTACGATTACTCCTGGATCTGAACAAATTCGTGCTACAATAGAACGTGATGGAATAGCACAAACATTAAGAGATTTAGGTGGTATAGTTTTAGCAAATGCTTGTGGTCCTTGCATTGGTCAATGGGACAGGTAATCAGCTAACAAACAAATAAAATATTTTTATTGATTTTCCTTTTCTTTGTTCGGATTAATTATCTTCATTATGAAACCATATTTAAGCTTTTTTTTAATTTTTTTAAAATTTTTTTAAAATTTTAATTTTTTTAAAATTTTTTATATTTTTTTTGTATTTAAAGAAAAGATGTTCCAAAAGGTTCTAAAAACACTATCGTGTCATCTTACAATCGAAATTTCACAGGAAGAAATGATGCTAACAACAACACACATGCATTTGTTACATCACCAGAATTAGTTACAGCATTAGCGATTGCAGGAGATTTAACTTTTAATCCAATTACTGATGAGCTTACAGGTTCAGATGGGAAAAAGTTTAAATTAAAAAGTCCTTTTGGAGAAGAGTTACCTGCAAAAGGCTTTGATCCAGGTCAGGATACATATCAATCTCCTCCAAATGATGGTTCAAAACTCACAGTTGTTGTTGATCCAAAAAGTGATAGGTTGCAACTTTTAGCACCATTTGAGCCATTTGATGGAAAAGACTTAATTGATGTCCCTATTTTAATTAAGGTATTTAATTTGTAAAATGACTTTTGTTTTTGACTTTTACAATTTTTAGTTTTTTATATAGCCAAGACTGGTAAAAATTGATGTTAAAATAAAGGGCTTTACTTTAAAAAATTTTAAAAAATGTTGTTTTTATTATGCCAGGCTAAAGGAAAGTGCACAACTGATCATATTAGTATGGCTGGACCATGGTTAAAATACAGAGGACATCTAGACAATATTTCAAACAACATGCTTATTGGGTAAATGAAATAGGCGTAAAATGTATTATTAAAAAAAAAAATTTTGTTCACTTTTGTTTATTGGTAATTTAGAGCAATAAATGAAGAAAATGGTGAAGCAAATAAAGTCAAAAATCAGTTGACTGGAAAATATGGTACTGTACCAGATACTGCAAGAAGCTATAAGGTATATATTTTACTATAATTATATTTATTACAAGTTATATATTAAGAAGCCTAAGGTATATACCTTAGAGAGAGACTATATACATAGATCTACATATATAACGGGTGATTACTAAAAATCTGGACAAAACTAAAAATTAAATAACTTTTAATCTAGAAGACCTATTTTATTGTTTTAAAAAGAATAAAATAGCAAATTTATTCTTATTTTAATAATAAGGTTTATCTTAATTCAACAAGACCTTGTCTTCTTATTGTGTCAAGTTTTCTGCTAGTAGACTCTGCCAAGCGTTGTACCAGCTTTGTCGAATTTCTTAAAACAGTAAATTATTCTAGAGCATAATTGAACCAAATTCTCTGCCTGCCATCCATTTTTGTAAACATCTCCTTTGATACAAGACCAAAAATCCTCAATACAACGACATTCAGGCATATTTGGAGGATTTTCACTTTTTGTTACAAACTTTATACCATTTTCATTCAAAAACTTAACAGCTCTGTTTGAGTAATTAGCACTTGCTAGATCAGGCCAGAATATGTATTTGGTGTTTTTTGGAAGCTGTTTGATGTGTGGTAATAGTTTTTTTAGTCAAACATTCATCAACATAAATATGCTGGTTAATAGCAGTTCCAGACTGTACAATGTATGGAGTTGATAGGCCAAAAGGCGAAATGACCGCGTAAACCAATAATTTTTCTTCAAATTTCTTTTTTTCTTTGAATTTAACATTGTTTGGTGTTAATTCGATGTTACTTGAATACAAATTATAATAGAGTAGAAATTGAATAGAAATTATCATTACCATTAATTTGGCTGTTCGAGAGAGTAAACTAAGACTTGTCACCCTAATAAAATCTTAATAATTTTTATAAAGTTGACCACACAAACGTCGGTTTTTTGCTCTCTGGCTCTCAGTTCGACTTGAAATCTTCATTTTTTTTCTTTTTTTTTATTGATGTTTTGGTTTTCAATGTCTTAGAAATAAGTGACTGAGAACATTTGAACTTTTTTGAAGCTATACGCTGAGAAATGCCACATTTATGGTCAAAAGCTTAGTAAGTTGATTGATGGCGCGCTTAGTCATTATTTTTGGCTTTCCACCACCACCAGTTTGCCTTTCAAATGGTTTATCTTCTTCTACACGTTTATTAATTTCATATATAGTCGATCTTGATAAGTTTTTTGCTTCAAAATGAGAAACAGTGAATGATTTAG